TGAGTATCAATTGGGTATTGTTTACTCGCATAAAGTATGGATACTAGGTAATAAATCAAGAAAAGTGTCCCTTCCACATATTTTAGGGTAACTTACTACATACAGGCTTTTGTGCTTCAACACCCTCCGGTAACTGATCCATTCATGTCACCATGACCACTGACCAGAGGAGAGCAGTGACTCCATGTGATCATGTTCACTAGACATCTTTGTCCCTTAATGGTAGCTACCATTTAGGTTACACTATGTAAAAACAAATCAGTATCGGGAAAAAAAAAAATTCCAAAAAAAGTCATCGGTATCGTATTGAATCAACAACTCTAACGGTATCGCCCATCACTACTGGAAACAGCCACAATGCTATGTTTGTTTCTATTTAGAGCCTAGCAAGCATGTGCTACTTAAAAGAAGAAGTCATCAAACAGGACAGTTTATGTGTAATTTTTATGAAGGTGTATATTGTTGGTAAAAGTAATCAATATCGAATTGAATCAAAAATTCTTAAGAAGAATTACTTGAACTGGACCTTTTACCCTACGGCGGGGGGCTGGGTCAGGAGCAGATAGATCTTCGTGTGCGTTCGTGTGAACTAAGATGACATGTAAAAGTCATGCATAAAGGCTAAAATGCTAAAATGCTAAAATGCTTTTATCATTTTCTCCGCCATCTATTGTGGAAACATGGGTATTGCAGGGAAAAGGCAGAGGTATAATGATAATATAAAGAAATGATATAATTCGGAAATGTTTGGGCCAGATTAAAAAGCCAAACGGGCCACATGCGGCCCCTGGACCTTAGTTTTCCCATGCCTGACCCTATGGTGATGTCATTATGCACGGCCATGTTTACGCAGCATCCCTAAATCCACACCGTCAGCCACAGCCTGGATTTTCTATGAGCTATTTTATGCATTAGTGAATTGCTTTTTATAACATGCTGCGCTAAGCTAAGTCAACTTCTTCTAAGTCTAAAAATAATAAACACAAAGCGGCGGATAAAACTGTTATGCTGACATGGTTTCTTTCTGTTATTAGCAGCGATGCATTCAAGAAGACCAGAAAGTTAAGAAAACCGCAGATGTTCACGTGTCTAAAATTGTCAAAGGAATAAAAGGAATGCACGACTAAATGCAGTCGAGCTATTCATTTGTCCTTCATTGGATTTTTTCGTTTTTTTTTACGGGAGCAGTCCTTGGAAAAGGTCAACTCTTGAAGGACGTTTCAAGACCCCTCGTTTGAAACCATCTTTGCGGGTTTTTTTCCGGGAGCAGTCCTTGGAAAAGGTCAACTCTTGAAGGACGTTTCAAGACCCCTCGTTTGAAACCATCTTTGACCAAAGTATCTTAAGCTACCAATACAAATCCAATACCTTCTTTTCTCCTTCCTCAGTTTGCTAATAAAGGGTAAGTCAAAAGATTTAAAGACAAAATATAATTATTTACGACAGTATTAGGGCCACAGTGCAAATAAAAAACAATTACAAGATTGTAGTTGAATAAGTTCGAAGGATACGAGAAAAAACGTAATTTTATAAGAAAAAAGTTGTTCATTTAAGAGAATAAAGTCGTAATATTAGTCATGTGTCGTGCCCAAGGAAAATCTCATTAAACCGCATATCATCAAATGTCTAATATATCCTGTTTATCTCATTAAAGTCTGACTATTAGCATAAATCAACATGTTTTTTCTCACAACATTACCGCTTTTTTTTCTCAAAAAATTACGTCTTTTTTTGGGGTAAATTTACTATTCGAAATGTAACAACTTTTTTTTAGCATTTCGAGCTTTATTCTCTTTACGTTTCCACTCTATTCTCGTAATATTTTTTAATTCTCATTGTGGCCCCAATGCTCTATATATTTCTGTAAAATGAACAATGACTATAATTCCTTGTTTGTATAATTCTGAGGGATGCTCCTTTGCCTCTTCTACTGACTTAAGACAAGGTTCATTCAAATGGAATTTGTTTTAGGAAAAAAAAAAAAAAGAACGAGATGTTAAAATGATGATCATGTAAAGGCTGAAAAATCATATCATGTAAAGTAGGTTTTTGCTAGTTTCCAAATATGCGACCCTGCTCTACAACTCTGTGGTGTGCAGTCTTATAGAAAAAGGTTGAAATTATGATAGGGAAAAGATGTACGTTTTTACATGTAGGAATCCGAAAGGCCATAAGGATAAGCCTATTTGACTGAACTAAACACAGACTGAGACTGTGATCTGTCCGCTCTTTGCTCCAGTTTGGTCTCTGAGACATCCTCGGGGTAACACTCTGGAACACGCAGATCAGTTAAGGTTGCCCTGCATCAATCACAGAGTTCTCTCTTTTGAACCTCACGCTGTAAGACAGCACAATGAGCACTTGGAGCATTACATTGGTAAAGCCGTCATACAGTGGTTTGCTGGTGTTTTGAGATGAGTCTGTGTTTATTACGTTTAACCCAGAAACCTGACAAACTGTGAATTGTTTATATATATATGGAAAACATTTTTTGACCAGATATTTAAAAAAAAAAAATCAGAACGGTAAGTTGACATTCTAAACTAAACCAAAAGCTCTATACCAGTGATTTCTAAACACAGGGTCGTGGGCCAAATAAGGGCCACCAACGCCATCTATGAGCCGCAAGGGAACTGCATATGTTAACAACGGAAGACACCACAGATATGTTATTCATTAGCAGCTCAGTTACAATGCAGCTTTTGACCATGTGGTGGCGGTAACGCATGAGTCAGTTCTTAAACAAGCTCCAATATACAGAGAAGAAGACTGTTTTCTACACTACGCTAGCTGTAGCAATAAGTATGGAGGACGTTTTAAAACATACATGTCAAACTCAAGGCCTGGGGGCCAAATGTGGTCTGCCAAGCTGTTTTGTGTGGCCCGCGGGAGCTTAAAAAGCATTTAGTAAAGTCCAGGAAGCAGAGTTTCTTAACTTAAGTAATTAAACATCTTTCATAATCAATCAAATAATAATCAATTGCAGAAACATGTATTAGTCTGTTATGGAGTAGTTACATCCATACCAGCGGTCCCCAATCTTTTTTGTTCCAGGGACTGGTCAGCCAGTACTACCCATTTCTACAGACCAGACATTTTTTTTTACTGTGTCCCACTGCGCCCAGGTACCAAATGACCTACGGACTGGTACGGGTCCACGGACCAGGGTTTGGGAACCCCTGATCTATACAATCTTCCAGTTACAACTGATTTAAATTTTGCGTTTTTGTGTCTCTCTCTGCAGATACAAGCAGACGTTGTGTTTTGCTTGCTACACAGAAAGCAGCTGGGAGATTTCAGTCCTGCTCCTGTGTCCAATAAGTGGAGGCAAAAAAAAAACAAAGATAGAGGAGAAAATACAATGTAAGGCATCACAGATGATAGATCATATGAAGGAAGGAAGAGTGAGGAGGAGGGAGGGAGTCCAATAACAAGAACACATCCAGCTTCGATGGGAAATAGCAGTTATTACTGAAAGTGTGTGTGCGCCTTAACACTAGGGACCATGTGATTCCTCTGTGAATGTAATGCCTTCTCCCGCTCCGGCTGATCAATGAACAGGGGACTTCTCTGTGCTGCCTAGTCACTAGTTACCAACCCTGGTTGCCACAGCAACAGGAGGTTATAACGCATTAATCAAAGCTGATGTTTATTCTCACTAATCTTCCAGCGTGATTGACTCTATTTTTACATGGGGCACATGCAGAGATACCAAAATACAAAGTCACCATGGTAACGAGGTGACAAAAAAAAAAAAAAAGAAGAACAGCAACAGAGAAAAGTAACAGAATCGTGGACAGCTTTGTTCACGACCTGAACACGTGTCTCTCTGCTGTCGTACGAACTTGTCTTCATGACGATCACATCCCATCCCTTCTCTTTCATGCTTTCTGTATTTTTATGGTCAGTGTTTAAGTCATTGCAGGGGGGGGGGGTTCAAACGCCTGGCCCGTGGGCCCATTTTGGCCCATGAACCCTAATATGTGGGCCGCAACAAAATCTTGTAATGAAACAATTTTGCATTTTTTTTAAGTAAATAAAAGTGAAAATCTTAGTGCCCTGTGATTAACTAGTGAAAAGTGAAGCTTCAGGAATGGAAAACAACTGAGCGTTTGTGTGACAAAGAGTGGAAAAATGACTGGAATTACTGAGAAGAAGAAGGGCAAAGTTCTGTAATAAACACGAGTTAAGCCTATAAATCTTCTACTATTGATCCATAAAAGAACACGAGGGATCTGACTCACACATAGAGAGATTTCAGTAGAATCAGAAGAACCCAACACTATGTCAATTATTTTGTCTATTCGTTTGTTTATTCGTTTCGGGTAAATCCTAAACATTTGCAGGTCGTACCCCATACATTGAACTGTGCTAAATTTGATTTTCTTTCCGTTTGTGCTGTTTTTATAGGGAACTTTTTGCCCTTCATTCTGGTTCATTCATTACGCGTAAATCAGACTCTTCTGCTGTTTTTTAATATCGGAGTTTTATGACGTGTTAGCGTAGGTGAGTGACATAGGTGCTTATGCCTATACAGTGGACCCCTTAGATACGAGCTTCCCGAAATACCGACTATTCCATGTTACGGGTCTGCAACTATTGCAAGATTTTACTCGCGATACGAGGGAATATCTAGTTACGAGTGCTCAACCGAGGACTTGCATCCATCAGTCGTACGGCATGGGGAAGGCGGGAGCTCTGATGCTAATGCAACTGCCGAGTTTGACACAAACTTTTTGTGTTTAATAAAATATCCATCCATCCATCCATCCATCCATTTTCGTTCGCTTATCTGTTACCGGGTCGCGAAAGCAGCAGTCTCCATGACCGCCACCCAAATCACACTGCATCATACCAACCCCCTAAACCTTCCTGCGGGTGGTGAGTCCACTGAATGGCGCCAACCGCCCAAACTGGGATTCGATCTTGCCCAGGAGGTGAACCCTGGAGTTCCATACCTACACTCCGACACTCGCCCTGCCCGCTCACTGTCTTCCGCTTGGTTATCTTTAACCAATCGAGGGTCAGTGGTTTATTTATATTTTAACTTATGAATATATTTGTTTATATCTATGTTTATATTTATGTTTTTGATGTTTAGATAGTTCTGGGTGGCTAGAAAGAATGAATTGGTTTTTAGTTTTTTTCGTATCTCAAGCTTCCTGTCCCTTTGCAGAACCTTCCAAAACTTTTACATTTTTCATTTGGTCATTACTATAGAAACTCGGTGTCCAAAAAATGCCAATTTAATCCTAATACATGACGCAATTTGTTTAATAAATACTGCGGACATTTGAATATATGGTTAAAAACAAGAGACTCTTTCTCCCTAATGGAATAACCAGCTGTTTTTCATCCAGGTCCCATTAGTCCACTGTGTCATGTATTGATCTGCTTTGGGCAACCAGTTGTCAGTCACGTTGATGTCAATACCGGTCAGTCGCCTCAAGACGTCTAAGGAGCTACATCGTTCGGTGCTTGTGTGTGCGAGTATTTGGGTTTTTTTTTCTCTCCGTACCTCCAGAATGACATCGGTCCTTGACAGACAGCGCCCCCTGCAGAAGCTGACCTCCACGTTGTCGAGGCGGCAACCCCCTTTGGTGATGTTCCTGACCTGCATGTAGCGCTGACACTCAGACACGGGCTCTTCTGAAGGACACGCAGAACAACAGGACAGAGGAGTTAAAAGGAGCGAACAGCGAAAGGCGAGGTGATACAAAAAGGTTTAAAAGAGTATGAATGTGAGAAGCCAGAGGCTATTTTTCGTCGTCATTTGCATGAAAAGTGGGGAGAATAAAAGCAACTATAAAGAGTTCCCTCCACCGAGCACAATGACATTGTCATGGCCTCTTACAGCCCGTGACATTTCCTCCACAGGGAGAGAGATTAAAGCTTCAATGTAGGTTAAGTAATGTCATCGCTCCCTAATTGGGCACCACGGCAAATGGCTTTTACTCCACCTAAAATGAGCTGTAGAATATTCAAATGGAGTATTCTGAAGTAAGAGAGAATGTGTTTTTATCAGTTTTTTAACAGTGTTTAATTGCCATCTCTTGAGGCAATTGACATAAATGACATAAAAGAAGGGTCTAAACTTGATTTCTGCTCATATTATTCACTTTTAATTGGTTTAAAACATTTATTCTTTTACATTTTCTTCTTTCGTATCGTATTTTTTTTTTCAGCTGCACTCACCTGGAAACTGTTTTCTACAGACTGGACAGCAGCTGCCTGGTTCCTCCACCTTAACCTCCCCCTGAGAAAGATGGAGAGAGACATGGTTTGTCTTCTTTTTTCATTCTTTGGAAAGTTAAAAAAAAAAGAAATTCGCAGACGAGGCTGTCCCGGTGATTCAACAGCTCACTTAGAACGTGGAAGAATGAAGAACAAACAGACATTTACTGATAACTTCGCAGACAACACGCCAAAGTACCATCACGAAGATGAAGAATACTCTATATAAAATACTGTGCAACCAAAAATATTGCGATGGCTATTATTATCAGAGCAAATAGATATCTGGAATTAAATAAATATAGACTTTCTAATCTTTCAGTCCCATATAAAAGACCCTTATTAGGTCATAAGTCAAGATCATGTCGTCATTGGGGGGCGTGCGAAAATACTGACATTACGATATATCGCCATATTTCGCCTTGTGGTATGTTATCGATACACCAGGGCCAAAAATTTTAAACAATAAACATATTTGTTCTTAACAGATTTTCTCACAAAAACATGCTGCCTATTTCAAGCATCCACATGGTGGCGCTAAGCATTAATGAGAGTCTGTGTTGTCGACTGCAGTAGAAAGTCTGCCGGGAAATCATAAGAAGAAGAAGATGATGATGACGAAGAAGGAAACGGTCCAAGGTGGAGGATTAGCGAACAGCAGAGGAAAAAAAATTTCCTCTGCTGAAAAAAAATTTGAACGTGCGAAATGTATTGCAATATAACAATTATTGCAGAATCGCTATCATGGGCAATCAAAATACAGTAATACCTCGAGATACGAGCGTCCCGACATACGAGTATTCTGAGATACGAGCAAGCCTTCGAGGAAATTTTTGCTTCGAGATACAAGTACAGATTTGAGCAGGGTTACAGGCGCCGACGCTAGGTGGCCGAGCACACGGCGCAGCCCACGCCGCCTCACTCGTTCGCTTCATGTGTTCGTCAATTTCTGTACGCGAGTCTTCCGTATTGTGTTTGCGTTATCTACGTGATTTTCTCTCTATTTTGTGCATTATTTATTAAAAAATTGATTTGAGATATGAGCACCTCGAGTTACAAGCTCAGTCCTGGAACGGGTTATGCTAGTATCTCAAGTTATTACTGTGTCGTGCTAGTATCACATCGCGAGCTACCTGGTGATACCTAGCCCTAATCATAATGTGAATGTGCACTTACTATATCTGGAGTTCTTTTCAAACAGGATGCATCAAAACTGCAACAATGACCTCGTTCGTCAAATTAGCACATCTCCTGCTTATTTTGCTTTGTATCAGTTGAGAAGATGATTCTTTCGTGGAAACCACTAGTCGAGGAAACGTGTAGACTCATAAAACACGCAAGATGGAGCACATATGGCTTCATGCAGCACCGTGCCTGTGCCATGTATCTTGGTGACAGCATGAACAGATGTGAAGAAAAAGTACAGAGAGAGAGGATGCCGCATATGGACCAATCAGACAGGCAGAAAAAGCAGACAGGGAGAAAAGGCAAGAAAGTGAAGGCACAAATAGGGAGAAAGAAAAAAAAAAACACAGAGCGGGTGTAAGGAGACGTAGGACAGGCACAGGAGGAGTAAAACAGTTGAGGAGGAGAAATCCAGAGGAGTGACAATAAAGCAGGCTGGCCCGTGGCGTTCCCTGAGTCTGAGAATAGCTGCAGTTACCGCACAGAGTCAGACGCGACGCGACAGCCATCTTCAGAACCACTAACAACACCAGCTTCAGCTCGGCACGATAAAATTCATCAATCTTCCCCCATATCTGAACCACAGACACACACTGCTTATAACTGTTAACCCCCAGAACTTCTCCGCCCACTCTTCACCGCCATCAGTCTTCCCTCGGGGCGAGAGCAGCCCACTCACTTAAGAGCTGAGAGGTCACATGGAGGAGCACATTAAGCTCTTCGATATAAGAAGCATCGACGGTGTGTCTTTGTGCGAAGTGGGAAAACGTGTAAAATAAGGACATTTGACATTTCAAATTTTTTTTTCCTAAATGTGAACAAGAACATGGTGTTTTGTGGTAATTAAAATTTTTATATTTCTGATTCGACAATATTATACACATAGTAATGGACCTAGCATAACAATCAATTTGCATTAAATTTTTTATATTTCTTTTCACCTGATTCGACCATATTATACACATAGTAATGGACCTAGCATTAGCATCAGGGTTTCCACTGCTCAGCTATAATAAGGTACAGGGGTTTGGTTTGGTTTACGGCATCTTCATCCTGTGGAATTTCGGGGTTACGTAAGTCTTGTTCCGAATACGGCATTAAAACAACAAAGAAGGCTAGTTGGCCTATACGCAGAAGACGCCTTGGTTTACATCCACTGGTGTCAGACCATACATTGGCTTGTGCTACATTGGCTTTCTTTCCTTTGTGGTTTTTTTTTTTGGGAATTTTTTGCCCTTCGTTATGGCTTCTAAGCGTAAGTCAGACTTTCCTGGTGTTTTTATGACCTAGATCAGAGGTTTCAAACTAGAATTCACAGTGAGCCAAAATTAAAAACTGGGAAGAAGTTGTGGGCAAAACTTAATATTCTTCGGAAAATTGACGTCTCCCCTTCCCTTCTCGATCAAATCTTACATTTTTTAATGTAAATCTCTTTTTTTACAACAAAATGCATGTGCTATAACATAGCGCATACACCGCTAATACTACAAAACCTGTCAGTATATAGCGGCTATATACTGGCTTGCCAATTTTAGCACACGTTTGATATGATCTCGCGGGCCACAAACAATTACACTGTGGCCCAGATTTGGACCCCGGGCCTGAGTTTGACACATGTGACCTAGATTATGATGTTACTACTGTATTAGTGTAGATGAGTTACGGCAGAAATGGAGTCTCACCACATTGTAGGAACGGAACTCGTACGTACGTCGAGGACCACATGTACCCTTAAAATACCCAATTGTTCTGTTTACGCTGAGCGTTGGTTTCACTGGTGTTGCATGGTGTTGTGTTCCCGAGGGATCTGAATATTTTTGCACAAATATCTCCTCAATTGAACGAGGCGAAAAAACATAAAGAGCTGCGAAAACTGCAGGTGTTACACAGGCCGACTGCCTACTGACTGGAGCTCACTGTGCAATTAACCTCTACTTAAAGTTCTGGGTGTCAGCAGAATTTATTTTTACCCCGGCCCTTTACACAGCACTGCTGTGCTAAAGATATAAATTCAGCTCATTGTGTCAAGGATGAGACACAGGACTTTTTCCTATTGCCACAGTGACTCCCTCCATTTCGTAACTATGGAGGGAAGAGCATTTTAATACATCTGTTTTGGTAGATGTTTTTTTTTTTTTCACAGTCGGCCTAAATTCCACAAACTTCATTTGTCACCTGAGTCTTGGGAGGGTAATAAAAAGTAGGTCTGATTTTAGTAACACAGACTTGAAGATGTGAAAAATAAATAGGGAAGAAAATATTTAAATGAAAAAAAAATGGAGGAGGAAAAGGGGAGTTCCGTTTCTATAGTGTGATGTAACTGGTTTTCTGGTAAGAAACTGGTACTGCACATAAGTACTTATGTCAATCACCTATGCTAACATAGTGCTAACATCCTAATATAGGACATCAAAACATCCAAAAAAAGTTCAAAAAAAAAAAAGGTGAATATAAACAAAGGTGTCATCTGCGTATAGTGTCATATGACAACATATTCCTCCACACCTCTCAGTTCAGTTTTGAGTTTTAACGTGATAGGTCAGAATGATGAAACAAGACTTTCTTACTAAATTCATAGGAGAAAGCGACGTAACTACGAAATGCCGCAGGTCGAGAATGTCGTAAAACCGAAGACACCATGTATGTACCTGTATTTTTACGATGACTAAATATTGTTTTGTAACCTAAGTCGTGTAACTTAAGTTTGATTTATGTGACCATAACAGACTATTACCACAAGGAGTTGCCCATTGACAAAATCATGAAACATGCAACCTTACAACAAAATGAATGTTGTTTTTTTTCATTCCCAGAAAGATACTTTCTTCACAAAATCCAAAGACTGATGGACCTGGTCCTAATGGAAGACATGTATACCAGCCGAGTTGAAGATATTTTTGAAAGCATTTAAATTATATATTTTTATTTTAATTATTCACTTTGGTTCCTACTTTCTAGTTATTACATTATAATTCATATAGAGGAGCGCGGACGTGATCATTTTTCAAAATAAAGTACCTTGCAGACTAATGACTATTGAAGGAATTTGAAATAAAACTTCTTTTCATTCTTTCTGTGCAGCCCGGTACTAAACGATCCACAGTTCGGTACCGGAGGTTGAGTGGTTGAAAGAACCAAATGCTCATTCTCACTCTCCCTGTATCCCTGAAATGGACTATGACAGATGATGAGATGTGAGGCTAAAATGTGTGGTATCGATTTTGAAGTCAAGCAGATGAGAGACATTACATATAAAAACCCAAAAAAAAAACATTGATAGGATGACAAGTGTTATTTTAAATTTGTAAAAATCATGTTTGTTTTTTTTGGATGGAGCAGAGCTGGACAGAATCCATCTAATCTATTTATGCAGTAACAACTGTTCCACCTGTATCAAGGACTACAGAGTACAATTCATATTTTATGTCCAGACTATTTTTTCCTCATCTACCCCCGGCCCTACAGAGAACATACATAATTGACTGCTCAGCCCACCGTCTCCAACAAGACGGCTAGACAATAACTGAAAATATACACATGACCATGCACTTTCTGACTGGCACTGTTTTTCAGACGATAAAAAATATAGTTATGACGTTAAGTCAATTTTCAAGGGTGCTTTAGCCTCCCTAAAATAGTCCTTAGCCCTCTAATTGTAGGTGGAATATATATACTGTATATATATATAAAT